CGGAATCAGCAAGACATCCTATTGGGGCAAGTGCTCCACAAGGAAGCGTGCTGGGACCATTGTTATGGACTGTCTACTTCAACGACCTTCTTCATCTCATCCCATAACCCATAACCATGAAGAACCATGTTGTAAATCCTGCAAACAAGGCAGCCAGGAAGCTTACAGCACTTCGCCGTATCTCGCATCTACTTGACAGTAGGGGTTGCAAGATTCTGTACGAGGCACAAGTACGCTCACACCTTGAGTATGCTCCACTTTCTTGGTTTGCCCGCCCCCCTCTCATCTGCGACTGCTTGACAGAGTAGAGAACAGAGCAAGACGTCTCGTCTGTTGCCTGGACTCATCCTGGATAGATCTGTCATTTCAGCAGAGCCTTCAACATAGGAGGGATGTGGGTGGCCTTACTGTTATGTACAAGGCCAATATTGCCAAAGTACCACACTTGGATCCACTTCGAGGACAGCGTGAAACAAACTTTTATGCCACAAGACGGGCAGAAAGCAGCAACTTCACTCTGGCTGTACCCTTCTCCAGAACATCACTCCATCTGAGATCATATATACCAAGGATGACTCGAGTATGGAACACATTCGTACAGCATAATGATGTCAACGAGATAAAGTCAGTTGATCAAATGAAAATGCTGGCCCACAGATAGCTCCAATTTCATCCTGTTCCCTACTTGTATGTCTCATAACAATAAAAATGCTTTCAAATGAGCTGATGTAGGTAACAGCTCTTAGCTTGCCAATAAAGTTAGGAATCCTTAACCTGTAAATAGCTTGTCAATAAAGCTAGGGATCCTTAACCTTGCCAAAACCTGTGTAAAAAAAAAGAGAGTGTAGTCAACAAGAGAGAGTGTAGCCAACAAGAGAGTGTAGCCAACAAGAGAGATTGTAGTCAACAAGAGAGAGTGTAGTCAACAAGAGAGAGTGTAGTCAACAAGAGAGAGTGTAGTCAACAAGGGAGAGTGTAGTCAACAAGAGAGAGTGTAGTCAACAAGGGAGAGTGTAGTCAACAAGAGAGGGAGTGTAGTCAACAAGAAACTGTGCCCAACAGAGAGAAAGTGTGTGTGTACTCACCTATTTGTACTCACCTAGTTGTGGTTGCACGGGTCGATTCATATCTCCTGGCCCCGCCTCTTCACTGGCCGCTACTGGGTGTGTGTGTGTACTCACCCAATTGTGGTTACAGGGGCCAATTCATAGCTCTTGTCCCGCAATCTAAATAAGTAGGACCCCAATGGAAATAAGTCACTCTGACTTTTTTGGGTTATCCCAGGTTCTCTACACGTATGCTGCTGTGTATGGTAATCTATGCAACTGTATTTGTGTATACCTGAATAAACTTTCTTACTCTCCATTGGTCGCTACTAGGTCCAATCTCTTCCTGCTCTGTGTGTGAGTACTCACCTAGTTGTACTTACCTAGTTGTGGTTGCAGGGGTCGATTCACAGCTCCTGTCCCCGCCTCTTCGCCGGCCGTTACTAGGTCACTTCCCGCTCCGTGAGCTTTATCATACCTCTTCTTAAAGCTATATATGGATCCTGCCTCCAGTACATCACTTCCCAGACTATTCCACTTCCCGACACTCTGTGACTGAAGAAATACTTCCTAACATCTCTGTGATTCATCTGAGTCTTCAACTTCCAACTGTGACCCCTTGTTGCTGTGTCCCATCTCTGGAACATCCTGTCTGTCCACCTTGTCGACTCCTCTCAGTATTTTGTGTGTCGTTATCAAATCCCTCCTATCTCTCCTGTCCTCCAATGTCGTCAGGTCGATTTCTCTTAACCTCTCCTCGTAGGACATACCCCTTAGCTCCGGGACCAGTCTAGTTGCAAACCTTTGCACTTTCTCTAGTTTCCTTACTTGCTTGGCTAGGTATGGGTTCCAAACTGGTGCTGCATATTCCAATATGGGCCTAACGCACACACTGTACAGGGTCCTGAACGATTCCTTATTAAGATGTCGGAATGCTGTTCTTAAGCTGCCGCAGTTATTTGGTTGATGTGCGCCTCGGGACATGTGCCAGGTGTTATACTCACCCCAAGGTCCTTTTCCTTGAGTGAGGTCTGTAGTCTCTGGCCCCCTAGACTGTACTCCGTCTGCAGTCTTCTTTGCCCTTCCCCAATCTTCATGATTTTGCACTTGGTGGGGTTGAATTCTAGGAGCCAGTTGCTGGACCAGGTCTGCAGCCTGTCCAGATCCCTTTGTAGTTCTGCCTGGTCCCCGTCCGATTGAATTCTTCTCATCATCTTCACATCATCTGCAAACAGCGACACTTAGGAGTGTATTCCTCCTGTCATGTCGCTCACAAATACCAGAAACAGCACCGGTCCTAGGACTGACCGATGTGGAACCCCGCTCGTCACAGGCGCCCACTCTGACGCCTCGCCACGTACTATGACCCGCTGCTGTCTTCCTGACAGGTTTTCCCTGATCTATTGCAGTGCCTTCCCTGTTATCCCTGCCTGGTCCTCCAGTTTTTGCACTAGTTTCTTGTGTGGAACTGTGTCAAACGCCTTCTTACAGTCCAAGAAAATGCAATCTACCCACCCCTCTCTCTCCTGTCTTACTGCTCTCACCCTGTCATAGAACTCCAATAGGTTTGTGGTTTGGTGGCTAAAGCTCCCGCTTCACACACGGAGGGCCCGGGTTCGATTCCCGGCGGGTGGAAATTCCGACACGTTTCCTTACACCTATTGTCCTGTTCACCTAGCAGCAAATAGGTACCTGGTGTTGTGACTGTGTGGGTGCTCTGGGGGCAAGATTAAGGACCCCAATGGAAATAAGTTAGACAGTCCTCGATGACGCCTGCTTTCTGGTTATCCTGGGTTAGGCTAACCCTCCGGGTTAAAATATCCACACACGAAATCCTAATCTATCCCTGAAACCGGGCTGGCTGTCGTTGATAAGCTCATTCCTTTCTAGGTCCCCCACCACTCTTCTGATGATCTTCTCCGTGTGTGTGTGTGTGTGTGTGTACTCACCTAATTGTGGTTGCAGGGGTCGAAACTCAGCTCCTGGCCCCGCCTCTTCACTGATCGCTACTAGGTCCTCTCCCTCTCTGTTTCCTGAGCTTTGTCATACCTCTTCTTAAAACTATTGTTCTGCCTCCACTACTTTACTTGCTAGGCTATTCCACTTCCTGACGACTCTATGACTAAAGAAATACTTCCTAACGTCCCTGTGACTCGTCTGAGTCTTCAGCTTCCAGTTGTGACCCCTTGTTTCTGTGTCCCCTCTCTGAAATAACCTTCTCTGGTCCACCTTGTCTATTCCTGCGTATCTTGTATGTCGTTATCATGTCCCCTGACCCTTCTGTCCTCCAGTGTCGTCAGTCCGATTTCCCTCAACCTTTCCTCGAACGACATTCCCCTGAACTCTGGAACTAGCCTTGTTACAAACCTTTGTACTTTCTCTAACTTCTTGACATGCTTGACCAGGTGTGGGTTCCAGACTGGTGCTGCATACTCCAGTATGGGCCTAACAAACAGTGTACAGTACGATCTATGTGAGCCTGAGCTTGCTACCACCTGCAGCTCATAAGACTGCCATCCCCACGAGCCCCTTTGGGGCGGGGTAGATGGCAGACCAGAGGCCTAGCTTCTCCCTACGAGCCCCGTGAGGGCGGGGACTGTGGCTAGGCCTGGGGACAGTTGGTCCCAAAGATGAGGGGGTACTTGTACCTCCTCCCATGGGAGACTTAGGTCTCGAGATACTCCCCAGATAGGGAGCCAAGGCCGGGTCACCACTACTTGGAAAAGACCCGGGCCGGGAGAATACCGGCGAATAAAAAAAAAAGTGTTCAGTGTCTTGTGTGTACTCAACTGCCTCCCAGCATACATAAGGGGGATTACCAACAGACCCCTGGCAGTCTTCAAGCTGGCACTGGACAAGCACCTAAAGTTGGTTCCTGATCAGCGGGGCTGTGGCTCGTACGTTGGTTTGCGTGCAGCCAGCAGTAACACCCTGGTTGATCAGGCTCTGATCCACCAGGAGGCCTGGTCACAGACCGGGCCGCGGGGGCGTTGACCCCCGGAACTCTCTCCAGGTAAACTCCAGGTACTCACCTAGTTGAGGTTGCAGGGGTCGAGTCCGAGCTCCTGTGTGTGTGTGTGTGTGTGTGTGTGTGTGTGTGTGTGTGTGTGTAGCCATGATGGGTGTGGCCGCGGGTGTTGACATTAGAGGCGAGGGATCACTGGTGTACAGGATGACTCACGCTGCCACCAGTCCACGTCTTGCATCGTCATCATTCTGCAAAAAAAAAAAAATGATGGCACATTTTCAACATTTTATCCATTGACTACACACACACAATTTTAATTGAATGTATGAAATCAACAGGGAAATTATATATGTGTATAATTATTACGTATACAAGATTTGTTTTTTCTCTCGTATATGTAAGATACATATGTCATGTATGTGAAAATGTGGCAACGTGAAGAAGAATGTTTAATGTATTGTTCTATTGCAGGTTTCACAGATACAATGGAAATTCGAGCATCGATGGAAATGAGCCTCTTCTGAGTTTTGGGGGATTATTCTAGATACTTTTACACATGATACTATGCAAGACAATTGTAATCATCCAAAATTGTTACTTAATCATACTACGTAATTAATTAAGTAAGTTTATTCAGGTAGACACAAATACAGTTACATAGATTATCATACATAGCAACATATGTGTAGAGAACCTAGGATAAGCCAAAAAAGTCAGTGACTTATACCAAATGCTATGGAAATTAGTCACAGATGAATTTTTGTGTAAAGTATTAATTGACAATATTTCAGTCTCGTACATATACTGATAGAAATTAATTTTAAATAGCATATATATATATATATATATATATTATATATATATATATATATATATATATATATATATATATATATATATATATATATATGTATGTATATATATATATATATATATATGTTTTTTTTTTTACTGGTGTAGTGTATTCGAGTGAGGTGAGAGATCATCCGAGACTGGTACCGTCTTATGTGCATGATGGTGAAGCATGATGCTGACCACAGCCTCGGTTCACACAACGTGTAAACAATCATTGACAAACCCTTCAAACCGGTCTGAATTATCTCTATGGCTCGTCTTGATCTAAGCAGCGCTGTAGCTCACCCCTGACCTTGTGCCAGCCATTAACTACAGCAGACTGAGGCGTGGATGGTGAGGAAGAAGAGCAGCAGTGTGAGTTAAGGGAGGTGTGAGGCTGCAAGAGGCGTGGCCAGCTCCCCAGTTGACTTGTGGTTACCACTCTTTCAGCACAAAGAAATCCGCTTTGTCATTAGTGTTTCATGGTGATTGTCAGCGAGCAGTGAGGACGTGGAGGAGTGTAGCTCAGCACCGGGAAGTTAGGAGATTGTTCCTCTCAGTGATCCACTAGTGTGACCACCCGAGGCAACACATCATAATGGGTAAGTCTCGCCAACTCCTCGCATCTCCTTTTTTCCTTCTGTCGTCTCATTTTGAATGTAGACATCAGTAAAACAAGTAACTTTTGCTATTAACTTATTTTTTATGATTGAATTCATTAGCATTACTTTGTAGCAGGAGTGCTGATCTTTTTTTTCTTTCTCACGACCATGTACGCTAGCAAGTAAGTCCTACAAACTTTTAATTACGTTCGGTATATATACACTTATTTTTTTTAATGTGTTTTTTTGAATCTGAGTAATGAAGTCACGGAAGAAAAGTCACAGTTTTGGGTGTCGAGATGAAAAAGTCAAGAGTGCTTGTAGTTAGTGTCGGCACACCTGACTAAGCTAACTAAATCTAACATAGCCTAACTTAATCTAACATAGCCTAACTTAATCTAACATAGCCTAACTTAATCGAACATAGCCTAACTTAATCTAAAATAGCCTAACTTAATCGAACATAACCTAACTTAATCTAACATAGCGTAACTCAATCTAACATAGCCTGATCTAATCTAGCATAGCCTAATTTAATCTAACGTAGCCTAACCTAATCTAACCCAATCTAACATAGTCTAACCTAATCTAACCCAATCTAACCCAGTCTAACATAGCCTAACCTAATCTAACCCAGTCTTACATGGCCTAACCTAATCTAGCTCAGTCTAACATAGCCTAACCTAATATAACAACTTAACCTGATTCAACCTAGCCTAATCTAATCTAACTGAACTTAACCTGATTCAACCTAGCCTAATCTAATCTAACTGAACTTAACCTAATCTAGCCTAGCCTAATCTAATCTAACTGAACTTAACCTAATCTAACCCAGCTTAATTTACTTTAACGTAATCTAATTTCACTAACCTAATCTGTGTCATTATGTACTTGATTGCCGGGACAGAACCCCATCAACTTTACAAACAAAACATACCCATATCTGTAACAGAGGAAATACAGTTTTCTGCTGTAGAAATTATTATTTGTTAACATATCAATCATAATAACACAGCACAATAATAGTAATAATAATAATGCTGTAATAATAATTAAAAAAATAACACTTTGAGCAGCGACTCTGCAGCAGTGATGAGTTGGGTTGCTAGCTGCAGCCTTACCACCCACAATAATGACCCACACAAACATGGATCACCCCACTATTTTTCATCATTACCTGTCATTATTATTCTATATTAGATCAGGTTAGAGTAAGTTATATAAGGAAAAATAGTGTAGTGATGCAGGTGAGCATGGGTCAATGTTGTTGGTGGTGAGGCTGCAGTGAGCAACCCAGTCACCCACCACTGTTTAATGCATTATTATTATTATTATTATTATTATTATTATTATTATTATTATTATTATTATTATTATAGCTGATCTATTGATAAATAATTATTATCCTTTGTTATGGATATGGATATTTTGTGGTATGTGTGTAATGTTAATGTGGTTCTGTCCTGAGATTAAAGTGCATAATGACTCTAACCTAACTTAACCTATTCTGACCATGTTTAAATTAATCAGATTTTATCAGACTTTTATACCTGTGAATTTTTTCTTTGATACTTTTTACCTGTGACTTCATTATTTGTTACCATTTCTTGATAGTTCTTGTTCCTGTAATATTTTTTTTCCAGGCGGGGAGGGCCTGGCTCAGGAATGAGCCTCAGAAACAATGATCTTTGGAATCATTAACAAATATAATGAAATTACTTTTTCCATGATATCTGGGAAAGTAGCTGCCACTGCTATTCTTATGCTCCCATTCAAATATCTGCTAAATAATATTTACCAAATTAAGTTCCCAAATAAAAAATTTAAATGGTGTGCTTGCTCTTCAGTTGGTAGCAATCTCAACTCACACACTGAGGGATCGGAGTTCACCACCCAGAGAAGGTGGCAGTGTTGGGCTTGTTTCTTTACACCTACCCCTGTTCATCTAGTAGTTAAGTATAGTAGATACCTGGGTGTTAGTCGACTGGTGTGTTGCATGCTGGGGGAGAGGGTTAAAAAAACCTCAGTAAAAATATGTCTTGGTTACTAACCCTTCAAGTTAATAATCTGAACAAAATCTTCAACAGTTGTATCCTGTAGCTTAGTGTTAAAGCATTTGACTCTCAACTTTTGGTTAAGAGTCTAATGCTGATTTGATTGCCTGGTGAAAGGAATCTTATGGGCAACTCTCCGTATACCTGTTGTCCTTATTCGCTTAATATCAGTCCATCAGTCGTTTGTACAAAGTTGATATATAATATTATTATATTATATACTGTATCACATGGAAAGCCCCTTAGTTATGCAGAGCATTCTGGGCAAGCTTAAACCTAACATTTCTAGAATGACTTTTTTTTTAATACAGTTTTACAGGCTAAGAGCTGTTATCCTATCTCAGCACATTTCAAAGCCCAACACAGTTTTACAGGCTAAGAGCTGTTATCCTATCTGAGCACATTTCAAAGCCCAGTGACCCACAACAGTTGGCTAACACCCATGTACCTACTTACTGCTAGGTGAACAAGGGCAGCAGGTGTAAGGAAACATCTTCATTTCCTCCTGGCTGGAGACCAAACCACTGATACTCAGTATGTGAGCTGAATGCATTACCAACTGTGCCATGGGTAAACCTTACGGTTTATATCCGTTCCATGTCCAACTAATGCTATTTCTACTCAGGTAAGAGATGTGCTGAGAAAGCTTATTACAACAAATTTACATGAAGCAGATAAAATTATAGGAAGGTACATGGTATTAAGAACACTTGGATTATGCTGTATACATGTATTAAAATTATTCAGTTAATTCAGAATAAAATTACAATAAGAGTGAAACTAGTAACATGAATTATTACAAATGTTATGAGGCACTATTTTACATATGTAATATGTACATAGGACATTAATGATATTCCCAGTAAAATAAATTCAGTGAGAATGACTCAAATGTATATGCAGCAGATAAAATCATAGCAAGGTACATGAAAGTATGAATAATTAGTTTATGCTATATTAAAAGTATTCAGTAATTCAAAATAAAATTCTAATAAAAATTACAATAAGGATGAAGCTATTTACCTGAATTGATACAAAATATGATGAGATAATGTATACTTATCTAGTAATAAATGAGAATTGAAGAATGGGTGGAACAAGAACAGGGACAATATGAGATGAAAGGCAGGGTTTTATGATTTATTTGGCATAATAAATTGTTGTCAGGATTACATTCAAGTAAGGTGTTTTTTAACAGTAGTTTTGAAGTGGTTGGCAGACAGGTAACCTCTGGAATCTTCAGGCAGAGTTCCAGAGTTCTAGATGTGTATTGTATTGAGTTTTTACACAGGTTGAGTCAGACTCGGAGAATATCATAGATATTTTGTGTCTTGTGTTATGCCAATGAGTTTTGTTGCAGCTATCAAGAAGAATTTTAGAGTAGAATTAATATTAAAATTGATTGCCTTGTATATGTATGCACAGTAGTATAAATGATTTTTAACCCTTTATGGGTCGACAGGCCCTCTCCAAGACTCGTTCTCAGGGTTGGCCAAATTTAAAAAAAATATATATATATATATTTTCTTATGAAAAGATAGAGAATCTTTTCTCGATCATATTGACACCAAAAGTATGAAATTTGATGGAAAACTTACGGAATTATGCTCTCGTGAAGTTAGCGGTCTCGACGATGTTTACGCATCGGCGATTTTGCCCACTTTGAGCCCTATTTTCGGCCAATTCCAGTGTACTAGTCGACAAATCATAACTATTTCTCTAGGACTATTTTTTCTATTGAATGAGTACAAGAAACCACCCATTTACTGATTTCAATTATCCAATACAATGGTCAGAATTTAGCAATTTTGCCAATTTCACACAAATTTCAAAAGATGCCAGTTTCCAAATAGGGTCCAGAATAAACAAAAAAGACATTCCTGGCACTAAAATAACATTTCCTCTGTTCATTAGTCACATCCCCAGGCCCCTTTTATATTTCTTTGGCTTTCTACTTTCAATTTTTATTCTTACAAAAAATAGAAGATTTACTGTTATGCAGACTGCTGCATTAGTGTAGAAATGGTATAAATAATATCAGCGCACTTGTGAAAGAATATTAGACTTGCCAGTTGATGTGTATTGGACGCTTGGCATGATTTGTTTACCTGGAGAGTTTACCTGGAGAGAGTTTCGGGGGTCAACGCCCCCGCGGCCCGGTCTGTGACCAGGCCTCTACATTTGAACTTTGGTAAAAATCGAACATTTCTGCTACTTTGAGCTCAATTTCAAGGTACTTTTCATTGTAAAACCAGTCAAAATCATCTCAATTTCTGTAATATGTCTTCCATTCTATAAAATGAGACCAAGAAAACTAGAATACAACAATAAATACCATACAAAAATACAGTGCAAAGTCGCTGCCTTATTCCAAAAACACGATCAAAGTTATTTTTTTTCTCATTATGCACTGTGTGCTGCAGGATTTTTTTTATACTGCACACACTGACCACATAGACCCATTCTTTCATATGTATGCCTACCAGCTTTCTCCCACTAGATTTGAGGACGCTAGAATTTAGGCGTACTAATACGTCAAAAACCCTGGGTCGTAAGCTGTACTAGTATGGCCAAAACCCTCAAAGGGTTAAGTATAGACTTGAAGAGTGGGGGAGTGTGTCACATGGCACCAGACTTGGTTATCATTCATACAGCCACTTTCTGTTGAATTATTATTGGCTTTAAGTGATTTGCTGTAGTGGATCCCTAAGCATAAATAGCATAGGTGAGGTAAGTCTGGCTTGTTTGGCAGTGCACTTGCCTCGCACACTGAGTGTCCATGGTTCAATTCCAGAACACACGCTTTCTTTTTTTATCTTTGTTTTAGGATGTTGATGTAACAGTATACTATATGGGACAGAATTTGTGACTGATTTTGGACAATTTCCTATTTCTAAAATAGTTAGGCAAGATTGGAAGATCCTGTCAAATTTTAGCTTCTCCCATGACATGTGATTCCTTATTTGTAATGCAGAGTTGTGTTCTGTCTACTGGTACTGTAAAATCATATACTGTTTTTTAAATTAATAATGGCTCTAACACTTATTAACTCTTGAATCTCATTATAGCGTTCTACCATGCATTTGTTTATGTGTGAGTGAATCATAATGTTGTGTACAAAATAGTATACTTATAGTATCTAAGTACAGTAGTAGATACAGTACTGTACTTGAAGTTTAAGCACTTCAGTAGATACTGGCAAAATTCCCACCAAAATTTTGATTTATTGGTTCTAGAATTTATATATTGTACATTGTATAGTAAGCTATTTTTTAACTATTTTATATTATTTTATGTTATTTGATTTCTAACGTCATTTAATTATATTAGAGGAGCTAACTGCCAGCCTTGAGAAACTTCGTGTGACTGCAGGTGACCCAACTCCTGAGCCATTTGAGAAACTGATCAACCAACTCCATGAACTGGGTAAGCACTTGTAATTAGGTTTGATCAACTCTCTTTTAGAACAAACTGACTAACATATTCAGTATTAAATTACTCATGTTTTTAATGTATCCAACATACTGTAATACCATTCAGGGAAGGTTCATTGATGCCATGATGGGGCTCTTGATTCAGGAAAATGGACCTGCCTTTCCCTTCTTTTGGTTTGAAACCAAATGTCTTCCATTGCCCCTGGCACTGTAGTGCTCCCCCCGTGTAATAATGTAAGCTGCTAGTCTGACAAGTCAAATAGTCAGTAAGGAAGCCAGGTCTAAAGTGACTGCAAGAATAAAGCCATCTACATTAGCTGTCAGCCTTTGCAAGTGATTAATTTTGGGTAAGTATCTTTAAGCAGGACATCAGAGGAAAATGAATTATTGCATGCAAAGGGCAGCAGGATTTACACTGTACTCCAGTATCCTTTCATATAGGAAAGTTGCTAGAAAAGCAAGGTCTTTTAAACTGATTAAATTATTGTAGTTCCATCCTGGATCTTCAGGTAAGGTAAGCCTTACCAAGTTGTTTCTTTCCTCTGGAGCTTTTTAGTAATAATAATAATAATAATTTTTTTTTTCAATTTATTTTACAGCAAAAAGTGCCTTACATTATATCAAATGTCCATAGTGAAATTGTGAAATATACCTTGGTATGTGGAACTTGTGGAAAAGAACACTTGTGTACAGTTCAGAACATTTAAAAATAAAAATGTTTTGCCACAAGTGGCTTCACCCGTCCTTAGACTGATTAAGTCACTTGTGGCAAAATGTTTCCTTTAATAAATGTTCTGAAATGTACACACGTATTCTTTTCCAGTTTGTCGTTATCACAATACCATTTACAACTAGATAAATTTATGATTTCCTTTTAGCTCCCTCAGTGCCTGTTTTGCTCCCAATAAAGTGATGGCTAGCTTCCTACTAGGTTTATTTTTACTTATTTTGAGTTTATTCATTTATTAATGCAGTGCAGTAGTTAGATCTTTGTGATGGCAACAGTCCACTTAAAAATCGTGTTCTATTCATTTTCTTCTATATCTTTGCTCATAGTAAAAGAATTTGTAGTAGTATGCATATGATGTGACTATTGGTATTTTAAGACATATTTAATTGACTATTTTTTTAAATTGAAAAATTATGGAAATTAGGTGTTGGGTTACCTAAGGTATTATTCAAAAACAGAGGATGGGTTATTGATGTGGGTTGGACATATAGAGAGGACATAGCAAAATAGGATGGGGTAGTGGGAGAGAGGGTAGGGGGGTCATTCCAGGAAGGTTTGGAGGAAAGGGGCAAGTGAGATTTTGAGTGCTAGAGGTCTGGACAGCCAACAGAGTTGCGTGAGCTTGTTAGATAGGAGTGAGCGGAGGCAAATGGTTTTTATGATTTGATGTGCTGCTGTACTGTGAGCTAGGTAACATTCATGAAGGGATTCAGGGAAATTGGTTAGCTGGAATTGAGTCCTGGAGGTGGGAAGTACAGAGCCTGCTTTATGGAGGATGGGTGGGCATATTGCAGTTCAGAAGGTTGTCTGAACTATGATGATGGCACACTTCTGGCAAGACTGTGCCTGAATGAATGATGGTGAAAGTGTTTCTTCTTTTTTTAGGTCACCCTACTTTTGCGGGAGATGGCTGATGTGTTAAAAAAAAAAAAAAGTACAGTCAATCTTTCAAATTTGCTGGCTTTAATTAGTCAACAGTTTGCTTGATAGACAGTCAGCTAAGAGATTTTTTATATTATTTAAGGTTTCTAGTTTCATGGAACTTTTAGGACCACATCCTCCCTGTAGATTTGAAAGGATGAATGTGCAGTAGATCATCATTTATCTGGCCCCTACTGGAAAAGAGGGTGTTACAAATTCTCAATACACCAGATGATCAAATCATTTTTATTTTTGTTTTTATTTTATTTTCTTTTTTTTCACTTAGCTGCAGGATTGAACAAGACCACCAGATAATGTTGGAAGCTGCATAACTGATTGCTGAATAATGAATAATCACTGATCTGTATTATGAGCACTTTACAATTTCTTATGACATGACCACATAGATTACTATATGACTAATTTATATTTTGTTAGCATAGTTTTCATTTCTGTATTTTCAGATACTATACTTGACAGTATATTTTAGCTCCTTTGATGCTCCCAGTAAAATAGTAATTCTTTTAGCCTTTAGGCAAGTTGTTAAATCTGAAAATTTTAATAAAAACAGACAACTTTAATGATTTTTATCACTAGAATAATGTAAAGAAAAATAATCACTGTTTTCCCTTATACATGTACAAGTTTGGTTAGTAATAGATTGTAAATGGCTAATAATTTTTTGACATGGTATTAAAAATGTCACTAAAAGTTTAAACTGTTCTTAGAACATATTCTCACTAAACTTTCTTAAAAGTGTTGTTAGTTGAGAATTTTCCATAGTTACTGAAGTCAGATTCAGTAATTTTTGTTTTGATTAACTGACTTGTGAAATGCAAAAGTGAGATATCCAGAGAAAATTGTGTGGTAAATGTGTCAGTTTATTAGGCAGATTCTTCATTGCATAAATAAACATTTCAATTACAGAAGTTCTCTGATTCTTTCTTTTCTTATTTTTTATTAGAGGACAGCACTACAGTATGTGAGGAATTGGTAGCAGGAGGGATTCTACCACTTACAGTAGCAGCCATTCAAAGCTCTGTAGTTGAGGTTCAAGGAAAGGGAGCCGAATTAGTAGCTGAGTTGGCCAAGGTATATGGTAGATAGGTTCAGGTATACATGTACTGTACTATGTGATTAACTCATGCACCTTTGTAATGTTGCATTTCTGCAACTTTGGAAAAATTTGAAAATTTTAATCCCACTTTTAATGTAATTATTTGAAAATAATTTGTCTTCACAAACCCTAATACAAGGGGTATTTATCTTAATACAGTGGAACCTCAAATATCAAACTACTCCCAACTCAACCAATTATGTAAGTGTATTTTTGTAAGTGCTTTTATAAGTGTATTTTTGAGGGTCTGAAATGAACTAATCTAATTTATATTATTCCTGATGGGAATAAATTCGTTCGGTAACTGCACCCGAACAGCTGTCTGGAATGAAGAAAGTTCAATATTTGAGGTTCCACTGTATTTATGTACTTTGTCATTATTGATTTAACGCTTTCACTGTCAAGACCCCTGCTCACAAACTTGCTCTCAGCGTTGAAAAAAATTAAAAAAAAAAAAAAAAAATTTCTTGTGAGAGGATGGAGAATCTTTTTCCGGTGGTTATGACGGAAAAAGTACGAAATTTGATGGAACACTTGCAGAATTATACTCTCAGAAAGTTAGCAGTCTTGGTGATGTACTATATGCATCGGAGATTTCACCCACTTTGAGCCCCATTTTTGGCCGATTCCATGTTCCAGTTGACCAAACTCATAGCTATTTTGCTAGAACTCCATTTGTTCTATTGATTGAGTACAAGAAACCGCCCATTTACCGATTTCAACTACCCAGTAAAGTGGTCAGAAATTTAAAATTTGACAATTTTAACAAATTTCAAAAGATGCCAATTTTAAAATAGGGTCCAGAATAAACAATGCTGATATTCCTTGCACTAAAATAACATTTTCTCTGTTCATTAGTCACTTCTCCAGGCCCCTCTTGTGTTACTCTTGCTTTCCACTTTGAATTTTTTTCACACAAAAAATAGAAGATTTACTGTTATACAGACTACTGCATTATTGTAGTAATTGTATAAATAATGTCAACCCATTTGTGACTGCGTATTAGACTGGCCAGTTGGACACGTATTGGACGGTGACGTCATTTGTTTACTCTTGAACATTGGCAAAAATTGAACATTTCCGCTAGTTTGAGCTCAATTTAAAGGTACTTTTCATCGTGAAACCAGTCAAAATCATCTCTGTTTCTGTAATATATCTTCAATTCTATCAAATGAGACCAAGAAAATGAGAATACAACCATAAATACCATATGAAAATACACCTCAAAGTCGGCTTTGTGATCCAAAAACAAAGTCGAAGTTTTTTACTCTCATGCACTGCGTGCTGCAGAATTTCTTTTATGCTGCTCACACTGAACATGCAGACCCATTCTCTCAGGTGTAAGTCTACCAGCTTTCTCCCACTAGAATTGAAACCGCTAAAATTTTGGCGTATTAATACGGCACCAACACTGGCTTGTAAGCCATACTGATACGACACTGACAGTGAAAGGGTTAATAATGCCACTGTTTCATAGTACAGTAGTTTATAAGTACACTTTATAGTACATAATAAACAAATAAAGATTGTAATATTGCAACACTTGTAGGTGAGCAGTCCACAGTGCAAAGTAACCATAGGGGGGGAGGGGAAGGATGACTTTGCTTAAGGAAAGGAAATTTTATGTTGCAAAGCAACATACCTTCAGGAGCAGTGCAATAAGGTAATTGAAGTGCAAAATTGCTGAAGCAGGTGTGCTTGCCAACACATCCCAGCTTGGAAAGGAGGGGGCCAGCCAGCCTCAGGCTCAACCAACTGCCAACCATTAGGTACCAGAGGCATAAAGTAGTACTTTTAAGAAAAACAGAAAACAGCAGGTAAGCACATAAGCATTAAAACATGGTGGTAAATGGAAGATTGTACCCCTATTGAGCTGTCAAATGTCTTTGTTCTGTTCAAAGAAGCAATAACATACTTCATTCATATTTTTGGCATTCCAAACAACTCTGCCATGTTCTGCGAATTTTCCATTACACTTATAAGTACTTAAATAACAAAAAAGGCACAATACCGTGACTGGAACAATACACAAATAACCCGCATATGTGTGGGTTATTTGTGTATAAGTACGTAAACTCATAAATCTAATATGATTGACTAGTAATTGCTGATTTTTAATGAATCCTAGAAGTTTCAAAATTTTTTTAAATTTTTTAACCCTTCCAGTGGCTGTCACACAGAATGGTGTCACCGAGACCAGGGTCCTTTGCATAGTTCTATGTCATGAGCCCTGTACATTTGTAGCCTGAAGTGTCTTTAGGAAATTACAAAACTCAATGATATTGCGACGCGACTTCTCTACCTTAGGGAGTTTGTAGAAAAAACCTTGATAGCAGGTAGGAAGACTCATTATAGGACTGACCCTGGGTTAACTCCACAAAGTAGGAATGTATTAGTTCTTCCATTCAATGAGAACTTTTCTGTTTTGACAAAAGCTCTTAAAAAGATATATCATACACATAGTCTTTAAGAATTCACCAAAAAATATGGCAGGAGTTGTGTACAGAGTGGGTTGCAGCAGTTTTAATTTATTTTGCATCTGACAAGCTGGTAAATCCCTTGAATCTAGTGTAACACAACACCAATACTTGATCCAGACAGCGTAAGAATCTAACATATTTAATCACATACAAGTATGTAACACACCTGCTAAATGGTCGGAAGACAGACTTATAATTCCTAGTGCATCATGACTGGATAAAAACACCTTAGAATCGGCAGTTATAAAACATGATAGCCTTGCATTATATAATAATAGCTTAGGCTGCATTCTTGATTGAGGCTATTGTACATAATCTTAAACCCAATAATTTCACACATGCTCCCAACTGCCTTAGCCCTTTCAGGGTCCATGCCGTAGATCTACGGCTTTACGTTCAGGGTCCAAACCGTAGATCTACGCCATGAGCTCAGCTCAGCTCTGAAGCTGTGAGTGGTAAATTTGGGCCTAGATATGAGAGAATACATCTATGTGGTATGTGTGCACCACATAAAACAAATCCTGCAGCACACAGTGTATAATGAGATAAAAAAACTGAGACCGTGTTTTTCGATTAAAACAGAGACTTTGCAGTGTTTTTTCGTATGTTTTTTATAGTTGTATTTGCGATTTCTTGGTCTCATTTGATAGAATGGAAGACATATTACAGAAAGAGAGATAATTTTGATTGGTTTTAGCACTGGAAATGGCTTGAAACTGAGCTCAAAGTAGTGGAAATGTTAAATTTTTTCCAGTGTTCAAGAGTAAACAAACGACCTCACACATCTAATACACGCCAGCTGGTGGGTCTAATATACATTCACAAATGTGGTGATGATATTTATTCAATTATTACAATATTGCATAACAGTAAATCTTCTATTTTTTGGTTTGAATAAAAATTCATTATGTGAATAAAAAATCAAAATGGAATTCATTTGTAAAGCCTCAAAACATAACTAATGAACAGAGGAAATGTTAGTTTAGTGCCAGGAATACCTACATTGTTTATTCTGGACCCTATTTTGAAATAGGAATATTTTGAACTTTGTGTTAAATTGGCCAAATTACCAATTTCCAATCACTTTATTTTGTAGTTGAAACAGTTGACTTGGCGATTTCTTGTGCTCAGTCGATAGAATAGAAGTAATACTAGTGAAATAGCCAAGAATTTGGTCGACTGGAATAATGTAATTGGCCAAAAATGGGAGTCAGTCTGCAAAATCGCCAATTTGTAAATATCGTTGACGCATCAAAATTCGCGAGAGCATAATTTCGTCAATTTCCCATCAAATATCATGTTTTTTGTTTTATTACCTTCAGAAAAAGATTCTCTACCATTTCATAAGAAAAAATAACAATTTTTTTTTTTTTTTTTTTTTTAACCCTTCAGGGTCCAAGGCCCAAATCTGGAGTCACGCACCAGTGTCCAAGAATTTTCAAAAAAAAAATTTGTTATTTTTTCTTATGAAATCGTAGAGAATCTTTTTGTGAAGGTAATAAAACAAAAAGTACGAAATTTGGTGGAAAATTGACGAAATTATGCTCTCGCGAATTTTGATGTGTCAGCGATAATTACGAATCGGCGATTTTGCCGACTTTGACTCCCATTTTAGGCCAATTACATTATTTCAATCAACCAAATTCTTAGCTATTTCACTAGTATTACTTCTATTCTATCGATTGAGCACAAGAAATCGCCAAGTCAACTGTTTCAACTACAAAATAAAGTGATCGGAAATTGTTAATTTGGCCAATTTAACACAAATTTCAAATATTCCAATTTCAAAATAGGGTCCAGAATGAACAATGTAGGCATTCCTGGCACTAAACTAACATTTCCTCTGTTCATTAGTTATGTTTTGAGGCTTTACAAATAAATTCCATTTTGATTTTTTATTCACATAATGAATTTTTATTCACACCAAAAAATAGAAGATTTACTGTTATGCAATACTGTAATAATTGTATAAATATACATCACCATATTTGTGAATGTATATTAGACCCACCAGTTGACGTATTAGACGTGTGAGGTCGTTTGTTTACTCTTGAATATCGGCAAAAATTTAACATTTCTGCTACTTTGAGCTCAGTTTCAAGCCATTTCCAGTGCTAAAACCAATCAAAATCATCTCTATTTCTGTAATATGTCTTCCATTCTATCAAATGAGACCAAGAAATCGCAAATACAACTATAAAAAACATACGAAAAAACACTGCAAAGTTGCTGTTTTAATCGAAAAATCATGATTTCATTTTTTTCTCTCATTATACACAGTGTGCTGCAGGATCTGTTTTATGTGGTGCACACATACCACATAGATGTATTCTCTCATATCTAGGCCCAAATGTACCACTCACAGTTTATCAGAGTGAGCTGAGCTCATGGCGTAGATCTACGGTTTGGACCCTGAACGTAAAGCCGTAGATCTACGGGACGGACCCTGAAAGGGTTAATTCTTGGACCCTGGTGCACACTTTGAAATTTGGCCT